AGGCATAAATATAAAAATAATAGCATCTGATCCTACAAAAAAATAGTTAAAGATCCTACAGTAAAAGATTTAAACTACACTGATAGCTGGCAAACTTTTGGCGAGTATAAAAAACTGTCAGTTGCTTTCCAGAAAGTGACACAGTTGCCAAATTTGGACTGGCCGACTGTCCCGACTTTTACAATAAATATGTATGCAAATACATTTGGATCAAGCAATTCGGCTGAAATTAACAACACTTAGTCCAGTCAATGAATGCTTTAACGACGGTGTAGAGAGAAATCCGTGGAACACAATTTCTGACCCTCTTTCTGGCTATATTTAGACTAGTTAGGAGGTGAACATAGCAAAAGTCCCCGCCCTTAGCCATACACACGGTGCAGTCCCTTCCCTGGAATTAGGCTTAACATGCTCCCGCTTGTCTAGAATGTTTGCTCAATGTTGATTTAGTCGATTTTCTCCTGATGGGAACATGTAAGACAAAAATAAAATTTCCAATATTACAGACCTTCTAGACAGATGCCGCGAAAACTATACAAGATATAGAAAAACTTGGATATCTCACCTGTAGCAAATTGAATAAGCTTTTTTTGGTTCATAGTAATCATGTCACTAGGACGCATAGTTTCCGAGGATTAAGCGAAAAACCGAAAAGTGGTACCTTTAAACCCCCCTCTCCCCGGCGGCTCAAAGGGCTAAGGGCGGGGACTTTTGCTATGTTCACCTCCTAACTAGTCTCAATAAAGTCCCGAAGTCAAAAATTGTGTTCCACGGATTTCCATCTATAATGCTTTATTGACTGGACTAACTACCACTGGAAGCAAAATGATTCCCATTAGAAAACAAGGTCGGCGTGCTAAGTCCAAGCCAGCACTTATTTACCAGTGACGATGAGTATAAATAGTAGGGCTCCTCACGCCTCTCAATGTTCCTTACAATTCATGATATTACTTTTTTTAGTTGACTGAAGTAACTTGTTTTGTTATTTCGATTTAAGTAAATGCATAACTATTACTTGGTTCATTTCATTACCTACTATTAAATTTTAATAATTATTACTTTGCTATAATAGTGTTTCTTCAAATAGGTATTATTATTTTTTACAAGCTTTATATTGTTGACTTCACTTGTTAGTATGTGTGGGACAAATCTTGCAACTCAATTTAAAACCACTTCTCCTCAACCGATTGAGCTGAAATTTGGTATACTTATGTAAGTACGATGACAATGCAATGTTATGGTACCATTGAGCTGGTCTGATGATGGAGTCAGGAGGTGGCCATAGGAACTCCTGAACGAAACGGCGGAATCGCATCGAGTTTGGGTTCGTTGGATTTGTCTTTTCGAGCAGTTTAGTGCTAGATGATGTCCAGGGTCCTGATGATGGATTTGGAAGGTGGCCATAGGAAATCCTAAACGAAAAGGCAGAAACTCATCGAGTTTGAGTTCGTTGGATTTGTCTTTTCGAGCAGTTTAGTGGTAGATGATGTCCAGGGTCCTGATGATGGATTTGGAAGGTGGCCATAGGAAATCCTAAACGAAAAGGCAGAAACTCATCGAGTTTGGGTTCGTTGGATTTGTCTTTTCAAGCAGTTTAGTGCTAGATGATTTTTTTAAGGGACATGCGCACGTAGCTTGAAGAGCTTTTCCAGCTTCACCGGGCAGAGTGGCGAGTACAGAAGGTACTCTAGCCGTTTGGCAATCGTTGGTGCGCGTGCTAACAAGGCCGAGCGTGGGCTTCACGAAGCGAAGCCGAGGTTCGTCCGCGTCGGTCGCATACCGACGTTCGCGATCGGGCCGTATCGAGCGCATAAGGCGCCCGATCAGTGGCGAACCCAACTAGAGGGTTGCCCACCGCGGTGTTGGACCAAAGTCCAGCCTACGGTGGGCTCACTCGAGTGGGCCCGATCGAGGGAGACTACGGACGCGGCCTGAGGGCGCCACGGTAGGCTCGGACCTGGGCTCAGGCCGTGTCCGGGGGACGGATTGGGGAGAACCGGCCCGGTACATGTCTGTACCGTCCGAAATGAAATACAGGGCCTCGTACTCGCCGGCGAGTACGGTGTAACGAGCTACTGTGTTGTGGAGTAGTTGGCGTGCTTAAGGCAGTGATGTCTGTTTTCAGAAATTGGAGCGGAGCGAACGAAAATCTCTGGTCGAGGGTGACACCTAAGTACTTGGCCTCACTCTTCCAAGGAATAGTTTGTTCAAATAAGGTGAGATGGGTAGGGAGATTAGGACGAATGTGAACCGGAGGACGTTTCGCAGGCAAAGCCCTAGAAAAGTACACTGCTGCACTTTTTTCGGGATTTACCTCGAGGCGCCACTTCCTGAACCATTCGCCTAATTGTGTGACTGCGCATTGGAGCGCCAAGATGACGTAATTCCGATTACGTCCGGACTTGTAGAGTGCGGTGTCTTCCGTAAAGAGGGCTAAATCCGTATTCGGATATTTGGGGATGTCATTGACGTACAATGAAAAAACTATGGGTGCTAGATGATGTCCAGGGTCCTGATGATGGAGTCAGGAGGTGGCCATAGAGGAACTCCTAAACGAAACGGCGGAATCTTATCGAGTTTGTGTTCGTTGGATTCGACTTCTCGAGCACTTTGGTGCTAAATAATGACCCAGAGATTGAGATACAACTAAAAAGTGGAAAATAAAATTATAATAAAAAAAACTTTTTTAAAAACAAGCTTTATCCTGAAATGCAGTTGTACTAAAACGAAAAAACTAATTGTATGCCTGGTTCAAAGAATTTCGAAAGCTTGTAGCGCAAACAGAAAAACAGAGGAATAAATTCCATGCGCGATACAAGCTTTCGAAATTCTTTGAACCAGGCATACAATGATTTTTTTCGTTTTAGTACAACTGCATTTCAGGATAAAGCTTGATTTTAAAAAAGTTTTTTTTATTATAATTTTATTTTTAGGTATTGCTTACTAAAAAAGTGTATCTTCATTTTAGTTATTTTAATTTTCAATTAAAGAAGTGCATTTTCATTTTAGTTATTTTAATTTTCATACAAATCGGATTTTATAAACTTTATTTTGTATGAAAATTAAAAAAATTAAAATGATGATATCAAATTTCTGACTTCACCATACCATTTATATGCCCATGTTAACATGGGCTAGTGTCGGCTCATAAACCCATTTACCTAACACCCTGTATAATACTTACTTTTGAAAGATGTGAATTTTATTAAAAAACAAGAAAAGTATAAATGATTAAAGGTATTATTGTCGTTTTTTTGGCGTTACTACTTGCCCCGCTAGATGTTACAACTTGCCCCAAGCACGAGGTAAGTTGTAACACTGCACTTCTTCTAGAAAATAATTGATTGTAAAATAATGACCAATATTTATCATATTATTTTTACTTGATTTGGTACAGGAAGAGTTACAGCATCCATCCATCTTTATTTAGTAGACATTTAATCAATAGATCTCAAGATATATTAGTTTTAACCCTTAATTAACACCGTGGGGTAATTTTTTACCCCAGGCGTATAAAAATTGGCATATCTTTTTTTCTAGTGAAGCTAGAGCAATGTCGTTTTGTGTATTCTCAATACAGAGTGTGTGCTTTAAGCTCGTAGACGCGGGATGTGACAAAAATCATCCGTTTGGCTTTTACAGGTAGGTGGGGTAGAAATTTACCCCAGGGTGTTAGTTACGCATGCTTTATTTTATCATCACCTAACATGTAATTAATAGGTTTTTATTATATTGAAACAAAATGAGTAAATATTTATATGACGATCAAGTAGCACGTTGTCTCGAGAATGTAGAGAGATAAATAGAGCTTGATTTACATGATACTTTTCGAACTTCGAAGACATCTCCTCAGAACAGAGCGTTCATAAATTCGACACAGAAAANTCGTCAATTTTTGTCGTAGAACAAAAATTTTTGCACTGTGTATTAAGGATTTCTTAGCCCTATAAATCTGTATTCACAGCTAAAAATCGAAATGATCCTCATTCCTTAATTGATAAAAAAAACTTACAATTAACAAATAAAAAAGTTACGATTAAAATTACATTAACAAACAACTGCTTCAGGTGGGACTTGAATTCAGTACTTAATTTGTGCTCTGCTTCGAAATAAAAAATCTTTTTTTTTAAAGATAATCCTCTGTATGTTTAACTAAACTCAAGTAGGTAATATTGTTTTAAACTTTCATGGTCACTAACAAAATTATTATTACTGACAAGATTGCAACAGTTCCGAAATATCGGAATCTTAAAATTAAGGTAGGTACATGGTAGCAATCCCGTCAGTACCTAATAATAAACTCAAGTAGGTACTATGTATGTATTTGAAGTTGTAATATCCAGATAAAAATATTGACAATAATATCTGGCGTCAGATGAGCATGAGTACACAATCCAGCAATCATTCGTCCTAACTATCACGCCCATTGTTTAGCCCCAAAACTAAGCAGAGCTTGTACATAATGACAGTAACTAGATAATGCAGTACTTAAAATTTATAGCGTCAAGAGTTGCATTTCAAACTAATTCGTGTTTGATTCCCACCTAAGTAACTTTTTTTTCAAGTTGTTTATAAGATAGATAGTGCTTGTATTAATCTAAATATTATAACTCAAAGGTGACTGACTGACTGACATAGTGATCTATCAACGCACAGCCCAAACCACTGCACGGTCCGGGCTGAAATTTGGCATGCATGTAGATGTTATGACGTAGGCATATGCTAAGAAAGGATTTTACGAAACTCCACCCCTAAGGGGGTAAAACGGGATCCACGCGTACGAAGTCGCGGGCGGCCCCTTGTTAGATACAAAATTCATCTATTCTCCCTTCCGTAGCATAAGCATAAGGAAAATCGATCACCACACCATAAATTGTCCCAAATGGCAATGCCAGATTTTGTATGGAAAGTGGCGTNATGATGGATTCCGGATATTGAATAAAAAATAATAGGTAAGTTTTATTTTTTGGTAAAACTCTCTACTCTCGCGCTTAACTTTGGTCCGTTAATATGAACTTGTGCTGTGTACACTGAACGGAAGTGCTTGTATCGTTCAAGAATGGGAAAAGTACCGGCTACAGCAGTGGTGATCCTGGCTGTTACTTTATCAGGTAAGAAAATATTATAGGAAAATTTTAAGAATTTCAACTGCTTCAGCGACAGTGGTCGGAAAATCATGACGATTTGAATTCGAAGAGGCTGCCAAGAGCTAGGACCACGAGCGATATTTATATCGAGCATATTTAAATCTTTATCTTTAAACAGTGCAGGAAATTAGGTGCAGTCCTGTTGTCCCCCCTGCTTGGCCCCCCTGGGGGAGCCAACAGGATTTCGAAATCCTGTTGTCCCCCCTGGCTAGGGGAGACAACAGGACTAGATTTTTCATTAATGATTTGAGGACTGTTGTCCCCCCTGGCAAAATATATTTAAAAGCCATAATTTTTTATAACATTTAAGAAGGACTAGAGTACCTGAATAAATGCTAAATTGCCAAACTAAATACCTAAACGTATGTCAAATAATAATTAACATTTTGATATCGAAAAAATATAAGTTCTTGATACCGGTACTATTTCTTACTATTCCAAAATCTGCTTTACTTGCTTTTAACAGATCGTTATGAAATTATCCCTACTAAATAATATTATAAATGCGAAAGTAATTTAACTGTCTGTTACGAATTCACGCCTAAACCATTGAACTGATTTTGATATTTGATTAAGAGATAGTTTTGAGTCCTGGGAAAAGTCGTTGGACAGTTTTTATCCCGATTTTGAAACAATGATGTGCTCTATATTTTTTTTTCTGTGATAGACAAAATTTTATGCGGACAACGCCGTAGGCAAAAGCTAAGTACCTCTCTTATGCTATTCTCATGTATAAAAAATATTATCTACTGTAAAGTTTATCAAGTGTAAGTAAAAATCCGTTTAGTAGTATTTACGTGAAAGAGTATCAAACATCCATACTCACAAACTTCCGCATTTACAACATCAGGTAGGATGCTAAAACTGAATAATTTTAAATTAATCATAATATTCAACAAATTACTTGCTCAGTGATTCAACTAGCGGCCGCCCGCGACTTCGTACGCATGGAGTCCGTTTTACCCCTTTATGTATCCTTCATATTATTTTCTATCCTTTAATAAATAAATTCCGTTCTTAGTGGATGTCTACACCCTATAAGGAACCTACCTGCCAAATTTCAAGTTTGTAGGTGTTAGTTAATACCTACCGGCACCAACACCTATCAAAATTGTAATTATTATTTGACAAACGTGTAGGTATTCAGTTTGGCAATTTGGCATTCAGTCAAATACTTCAGTTTTTCATAAATTATGCTATCAAAATGTATGGCTTTTAAATATTTTTTGCCAGGGGGGACAACAGTCCTCAAATCATTGATTAAAAATCTAGTCCTGTTGTCTCCTCTAGCCAGGGGGGACAACAGGATTTCGAAATCCTGTTGGCTCCCCCAGGGGGGCCAAGCAGGGGGGACAACAGGACTGCACCGGAAATTAGTGTCTAAATTAGAATAAAACAAAAGACATCAAGTAATTAGTTCTAAAAAATTACAAAAAGACTCCGGTTGTTTTGCAATAACCAAGTCATGCAAGTATGAAACAGCTGTAGGTATTGGCCACGGATATACGGACCCTAAACCTAAAATAATTGCATTGTTATACAGGGTGTTAGGTAAATGGGTATATGAGCCGACACTAGCCCTTGTTAACATAGGCATATAAATGGTATGGTGAAGTCAGAAATTTGATATCATGATTTTATTTTTTTTAATTTTCATACAAAATAAATTTTATAAAATCCGATTTGTATGAAAATTAAAATAATTAAAATGAAGATATCAATTTTCTGACTTCACCATACCATTTATATGACAATGTTAACATGGCCTAGTGTCAGCTCATATACCCATTTACCTAACACCCTGTATATTAATCCCATGTCTATTTTTATTATGTAATACATTTGTATTAAGTAGGTATCAATGCCGGCCGGCTTGCGATAATGCTGTGCATCATTTTGCGTGAGTGAATTGTTTTTGTCTCTCGGTCTTTTGCGTTGTAAAAAATCACATTTCCGAATAAAAATACAACGATAACCCAAATTTAAAGTGACCTTAACATTTGTTGATTTAATGTCTCCTAATATTTGAATATTTAGAATTAATATAAATATTAAAATACATTTTAATATTAGAATATTAAAATTCATCAGGCCCCGCAACTTTTTTAAGATAATAAATTATAAAAAAATCTCTTCACAATCGAAATTTAGTTCGATGCTATAAAGTTCATTAGGTCAAAATAATTATCAGGACATGATAAATTCAACAAAAACTTTAATTGAGTAAAACCTTCTAGTTAAAAACTTAAATTATCACATACGTTTAACATAAAAAGTACATATACAACGTTCAACCGATATTATTGAATAGGGGACTTTTGAATCTCACATCTCAACCACTAATCCATCGGTCACGCGAGCTTTCGCGTTGCGGCGGCTGTGTGCTTGGGTTCCCTACGTGATTTCGAAAGTTGATGATTTGATTTTGCGGGTTTAAGTGGTAGGGTAGAACTCAAGCTACGAACTTTTGCTACGATGACTACGAGTTAAGAAATCAATAAACATCTAACCGTCAAAAAGTACCAATGAACTGTAGCATCCGTGTAGCGTTACATTAATAAACGTAATAAAGAGAATAACGACGAGTCCAATTACTCATGAAAACCATTTTTATTACTAAAATAGGACTAATGTTAGCGATTACAAGTAATTAGGTACATGGGCGACATGGGATAGGTAACGAGACAGTTAATTCACTGGTAAGTAATTGCATACTGTTAACTACATAGAGTAATTTTTAATGTCAATGTGTATCATTATTTTAGTACCAAATAAATATTTTTTCTTTCTTTCTTTCTTTCTTTCTAATTAATTACATTATAACTAATATTTCCAATTCCCATAAAATAAACGTTATTAAAACTACGGTTTTTTCGTAACAAATCTAGTAGGCCTAAGATGCGCGCCGTGATAACTTTTATCGACGCCAAAATGTATGGGCAAAATCTATAAAATGGCGTGATAACCGCTTATCGCGGCGCGCATCTTAGGCCTATAGGACAAGGCTGAATCGGTAAATTTTTACAGCATGTTGTAATGTAACTAATACAATTATGTACAAATGTTTACATAAAGTAAAGACAAGCGTTGTCTTTACTAAGTCGTCTATCATCCGTTTAACAACAGTAAACGATTTATGAAATTGACTGATCGATGGGGTTTTTACCGATAACCTTTTCTACAGCTTTCAGTTACCGACTGGCAAAAATTAGACAACAACGTATTCACGCCTTTTAAAATCTTCTTTTTTGTTTTTTCGATGGTGTAGTAGTGGTGCTCTGCTACAACTTTAAACACCCTAATCACAGGAGGTTCCAGATTCAAAGCCTAGTTGAGTCAATAAAAGATCGCATCTCGGTATGGCTATAAAGCACACAGGACAGGACTATCTTAGTCTATTGAAGTATCTTTTAACTTTTACAAGTATTTAAACTTTGTAGCAAATTAATTATTTAAGTAAGTACTTAATTCATTTATTATCTTAAATAACCTACTTATACTCCGTCCATAAATGTTGTAACTTAATGTAACAAAATAAATATTCTAGTTTTTTCGAAAAACACATCAAGTTACTTATTGCGTGATTTTTTGTTTACGAGTAGCTTACTTAGTTGCATTAGAGCGCGGGCGCGCCGCATCGCCGGCGGAGGCTTTTAGGCCACGTCCTGTTTGGTTCATTGTATTAAGGCTTCAGTTACACCTGTTTTAGTTTTATCATAAAAGCTAACATGTAGATTTTTCAAAAATATCGTTGTTGGGTGAGTGCATCACAGTCACTCACAGGACACTCTTAACGTTACTCGTAATGCCTCGTGTATTTCCTGAAATACGCGTACAACACTATGATGTATTTTGATTGATGATTTTTCATATAAGTATCAATTTATTTAACCTTTAATGCCATATAAATTGGTATTTACCTCAAACTTAATGCCATAGGATTCCCTGCCAGTTAACCTTCGGGCTTAAAACAGAAAATATCGTGACGGTGCTTTAAAAAGCAAAAGAAATTAAGAATAAACTTTTATAAATATCAAAGTAAACAATTAAAAATCGAAGATTTTAGAGACATCAAAAACGTTATTTATTTAGCCTACTTAGGTTTTAAATACAATAATTCTTAAAATCAAGCAAATCCAGTGTTGTAATGTATTGGGAAAATACAAGTAAAATCCTGACAAATTCTTTCAGCACTCCCCAACATACTACTCACCACTGAATTCTGAAATTGTAGGTACTTCCTCTAAGTATGGTTTCCATCAGGTTATATGGTCGTTAAGTCTGCAATTTCATCACACTTAATAATAAAATTCGACTGTTTATTATGGCCACGTAAGCTTGCTTTTACAAAATGAGCTTTCGTCGAAGGATTACGAGAACTTAAAGAATAACATCGGTCAATATTTTTGTAGTAGCAAATCTCTTCTCGTATTTGAATTCAGACAAAAGTTATCCAAAGTAATGAGTACCTATCATAATCATTAATCTGCAAATTCCTATTCTATTGTATTAACATATTTAATTTTGTAACTAACTAACTTCTTCTGTTCAAACTTAAAATGCGAAAGTAACTCTGTCTGTCTATCTTGCTTTCACGTCTAAACCACTGAACCGATTTTTTTGGCATAGAGATAGTTTGAGTCCTGGGAAAGGACATGACATAATTACAGTTTTTATCCCGGTTTTCGAAACAGGGACGTGCGTGATAAAGTTTTTCTGTGACAGACAAAATTTAACGCGGGCAAAGCCGCGGGCGGAAAGCTAGTGTTTTTATATAAATGATTTAGTTAGTTTTAAATTATTATTTTTTCGAAATTTTATACAAATGGCTCCTTACTACTTGGGAAGAATAAGGCCACGAAACCCGTTTAAAATCCTAGGACTCCATGCAAAGTTGCTGTAAAAATGCCGGTCTGCGTCTTCCAACTATAAAACCGGCCTTCAACATGCACTATTAACATTTT